CGTAAGTCATTTTGTGTTTGTTATTATGTGACCCTTATATTATAAATTATTAAAAAATGTTAAAATATAGTTTTATTTATGTGTATACTTTAATAAAAATGAATATTTTTACAGGAAGTGGCTAGTTACCCGGAAGTGTCGGGTGAATAGGCCGTAAAACTAATTACCCGAAACTCTTTTTTTTATTATATCTGAATGACAGCTAAAAAATAACCAAAAAAAAATTAGTTGATTTTATCCCTTAAATATATTAATATTCTAATTAGTATTGCTAAAATATACTGTTATATGAAATTTCAGCTTTTTATAAGCATTTCTTTTCTTGATGTCCTCCCAAAAATATTTCAGACAGTTCAATAAGTTTTCGGTAGTCATCTCTCACAATAGACTCTTTTAGTTATTTAGAGTAAATCCCATTAAGTTTATCAATTTCAGAGTTTACGGCATATTCACTAGACTCTTCCGGGTAACTAGCCACTCTCTGTGAAAATATACATTTGTATCAAAGTATACACATAAATAAATCTATATTTTAACATTTGTCAATAATTTATAATATAAGGGTCACATAATAACAAACACAAAATGACTTACGATCGAAGACCTCGCGGCCAACCGTGTTACAAAATACCGCGCGCCTAACGTTGGCTCAGGGAGGGTTCAGATTCAAGTCGGCACGGGTTCCCGTTTATAGAATAAGCTGAAATTTTTACTGGGAGTATATAAACACGTAATAAATATAATTAGAGGGTATGCGTAAAAAAATAAAAAATAAGGGACACCCTAATATATATATATATATATATATATAAATTACTCTGCATATTATACACATCTCATATTTTCATTAAAATTTGTAGTAGGCTTTGGAAAAAAGTGACGTTTTTTTGTTTTTTTGTTTTTTTTACAACACTTCCTATGTTTCAGATATAAATATATGATTTTTTTACTTCATGATGCTAAAAGTTGAAAAAACGAGAAAATTCGTTGGAAATCAAACTTTGGCCTCGAATAACTCTGTAAGAAATCAATTTATAGAAAAATTATAAGAGACGTTTTTTATAGAGCGTTAAATTTACTATAAAAATCTAAGATGTTCCTTGCCGGCATGCCATACAATGATTCGATATAGACGTATAAAATTCCAAAGTTAAAAAAAAAAATTCCTATGTTATTTAAATGGAAAATAGAAAATTGCGATCCGCGACCTCTAAATGTTCAAATTAAAAGCTCAAATTTTAACGAGGTCTTTGTTTTGACATCCTCTGAAAGAATTTGCTGACCATTTGAAGAAAAAGAAAAAGTCGATTTTTTTGAAACACCCTATTATATACTATAATAATATAATTATATACTACTGACTGCTGTCAAAATTTTAATCTGCCCGTGAGGCTGCAACAACCAATACACAAACGTGTAGAAATTGCCGCATCTACTTAACAAAAAAAATCATTTATTATATGTCTTATCCAGCACATGTATTTTTACCTACTCCATTTTGCCACAGGGTGGCCAAACACTTTTCTAGGGTATTTGAGTGCGCTGATTCCAAAAATAATCATTTTGCTAAATTTTTTCGAGATATTGTAAAAAACTGTTTTTTTTCGATATATTTGTAGGTATATATATTTTTTTAATCAAATACTTCATTGGTCATAAAGTTATTCATAATTTAACTGAAGAAAAAAAATTATACACGATCAGTCCCTTAAAAAACCCTTTTTGCGGACAATTTTTGTCCAAATTTAATAAAGTTTACAAAATTTTGTAGCCTTATTTATCTTATTTTTTGTGTTAAAGTTTCAACCAAAATGGCACTCAAAACAACCGCGGGTGTCAACATTTATATTTACGGTTATTTTAGCTTGTACGACTGAAGTCGTATTAATTCCTAAAAAAAATCATGTGAAAAAAGTCACGCCCATCAACAGTAGTCATATCACATGAACATGTATCATTACGAAAATGCACGTAGGTATTTTGTTTTAACCCTCAGTTTTCTTATACTTCATACAAGTTCATTTTTGGTATTACAGTTCTTCCAAGTTGATTTGTCATCTGACAAGTTGAACTGTTTGAGTTAGAGGAAGTAATGAAAATTATGTATTTAATAGTACCTAATTACAACGAGTTCAAGTTACTATCGGGGTAATAATTATCTATCCACTAGCGGTCCAATAGGGCTTAAAACGATTTGCCTGGTCACGCCTCGGTGTACTTATTGCAGAAATATATCTATATCTATATATAGATATATCTATATCTATATTAGGGTGGCCCAAAAGAAAGAATTTTTTTTTCTCTTGTCTCTTGTGAAAATATGTTGGTTTGTCATGTTTTAAGAACCCTGTCAAAAGATCAGCCCCATTAAAAATTTTTTAGGGGTCGCTCAAGGTTTTTAAAAATTTCCAAAATCGTCAAAAATTGGATTGTTTTTTATTTTAATTTTTTTTCTCGTTCCGATAGTATTTTTTAATTTAAAAATAATAATGATTCTGAAAATTTCAAATGGATATTTTGATTTCTAAAGGTCGCTCAAGATTTTTTTAACTTTCAAAGTATAGTATTTTGAATGTTTTCGAGCGACCTCTGAATATAAATATCGACTAACTTTTAGCGACCTTTAGAAATTAAAATATTGATTTGAAATTTACAGAATTTTTATTCCAACCAAAAAAATAATATCGAGACGAGAAAAAAAAATTAAAAAAAAAACAAAAATTCAATTTTTGACGATTTTGGAAATTTAAAAAATCTTGGGCGACCCCTAAAAGTTTTTTAATCGAGCTAATATTTTGACAGGGCTCTTACAGCATGATAAACTAACATATTTTTGCAAGAGACGAGAAAAAAAATATATTCTTTTTTTTTTGGGCCACCCTAATCAATATATAGATATATCTATATCTCTGACTTATTGTCTATCCACTAGCGGTATTTCGATTTAAAGAAATTTTGCTGGCCACGTGTGATCACGCCCCTTTTACTTTTTATTTATACTATTTATTATAAAATTATATAATTATAATAACTTTTTTACCATTCTCTCCAGAATTTGTATGTATTATTAAAATAAAACTGGGTTTTTACAAGGATATTATGTTTTATTTTCTAATTTTACTACTAGGTATATAATTTAGATTAATAATAATAGATAATGCCCAAATATATAACTAGTAACACCATGATTAGGTACGAGTTTTGTAAAAACCTTTAATACCTATACCTATATAACATAACAAAAAACCGAAATTCGTATGTTTAAGAGCCGGGACTTTTCTATTACTATTCACGGTGTGCCTGAACAAGTCTCAGGTCACATAAAAATGTCAACCAAAACTGATTGTATTTTTGGAATATGTATCTATTCCTCACTCCAAAACCATATTTTTCAAAATTCTAGCTGATCCTCTTATTATTTTTTGCAATTTTCTGGATTTTTTGCAAAAATTGATGACGTGATGTCTAAAATTTACAATTTTAGGCGGACTCCGCTAAAATATTGGGATGACCTAACAATTTTCAATAAAGAATCAAGAAATAAAATATAAAGAGAGAGTCGAAAAAAAATCACTATTTATATTTTTCCATTTTTTTATAAATCAATAAATTTTCTAATTTGACAAGAGACTAGAGAAAAAAAGTAAAGTTTTTTCATAATTTAATTTTTATAAATAATACCCCAGTAGCACACCAATATTGGTAAAATATTATTTTTACATATTGGCACAATGATGGAAACGTCAGATTGTATTTTAATGGTCCTATATTTTTATTTAATATTGATCCAATATTGACATACAATATTAACCCAATATAGGTGACATTTATTTTACCATTTTAGTTTGTAAATATAGGACCAATATTTGTATTTAATACCGATCCAATATTTAAATGCAATATTTACCCAATATTTGTGCCATATATTTTACCATTTTAGTTTGCAAATATAGGACCTATATTTTTATAGAGGCCAAGTGTGAGGTTGTGGATAAATAGATATCACAACGATGGAAACGTCAATCATATATGATTGATGTTTCAATCGACTGTAGTCAATCTTTTAGAGGAAATTGAAGTTGAGTTCCCATTCAGATCTACCAGGACCATGGCTCAAAAGTATGGTTGCTCAGTGCAGACCATTAGAAATACCCTTTACAGAGCTGGTATCCACCACCGAATTCCTGCCAGAAAAATAGCTTTGACTGAGAAAAAAAAAAACGGCACGTGTGTGCTTTGCAAGGGAATTTCGTGATTTTAACATCTCCCATTTAATATTTGCCTACGTTTAAATCATCGCAGATTGGAAGAGTTCACATGTGGAGAAGCAATGGCATCCGATACGATCAAGGCCACACGTTAAAAACTTAAGAATCTGGCAGGATTCATGTAAACATGGGAAGGTGGATGAACGCCGATGGTCCCGGTGCACTTGTCATACTTCCAGAAAGAACTACTGGAGAAAAATATCGGGATGTCTTAGAGACATGTCTTCGACCTTCGGTTCAGATTATATATCCACGTGAGGAAGTCCCGCATAAATTTTTTTCCCCAAGATAATGCCCCCATTCATCATGTGAATGGGGCAATCCACAATCCACACAACAAGGTCTGTTCGATCTCGTACTAAAAATACTAAAAATCACTGCAACACTGCACATCATTAATGGCGGCCATTTTTGTTGTTTACAATTCTTGTGTTTTGGGTTTGTACAGATTAATAATCGTTGTAAACGTTGTGTTTCTTACAGAGAGACTTGCAAGCCTTAAAAGAGTCCTCAAAGTGGTAAGAATAATCATTTTACTCCTCTTTTGTAAAAATAAACCTTATTCTATCAGGGATGTCAAATGTCAATTTGAAGGTTAATTTGTGGGTTATAAAAAAACCTTAAAATTAACATTTGACAACCCTGATAGAATAAGGTTTATTTATTAGCAAAATTTCTTTAAAGCAAAATAAAACCGCTAGTGGATAGACAACAAAACCCGTTTTTTATAATATCTCAAAAACAAAGGCTAATACTTTCTTTTTTGCATTTTGTTAATAAAAAATTAAATTAAAAATTAAACTTTATTAAAAACCAATTCTATTAACATTTTTACTTTAAAAATTAAAATTATTAGACATAAACTTATAAAGAATCCTTAAATGGATTTTCAGGATGGACCTAAACTTATAGAGAATCCTTAAATGGATATTCAGGATGGACCTTAACCCTAAAAAACTCATTTTAGAAAATAATACAACTTGGAATCAAATATTTACCCTTTAAAAGCAGAAAAATCAAGAATTCTTGCCTTTTTATCCAAAGCATTGAGTTTAGACATTTCTTCTTCAGTTAATGTAAAATCAAAGATGTCTATGTTTTGTCTTAGCCTCTCTGGATTGGTGCTTTTTGGAATGGTAACTAGCCCTCTTTGATCGGCGTGCTTTAAAAGCACCTGGGCGGCTTTTTTGTTGTGATTTTTGGCGATTTCCACTACCACCGGGTTGTTGAGTATATCTGGAATAGTTTGACTAAAAAAGAAATTTAGAACAAGTGTTTTACTATGCGAGAGTAAAATTACTTCACTCCGAATTGGGATAAAAATTTTCCCAATCCAGGAGATCCCAATGGGGAATATGCTGTTACTACTATGTCATTTTTCTTGCAAAATTCGACCATTTCTTTTTGTTGGTTGTAAGCATTACATTCGATTTGTAAATTGCTTGGTGGGATTTTGCAGTTGTCCAAAATCCTTTGTACTTGGGACATGTTGAAATTAGAGACACCAATGGATTTTGTCAGGTTTTTTTGCTTCATTTCTTCCATTTTCTATAGAAAAATGCATAAGTAAACGTTTCTATAATTTCAGAATAATTAATATTACTTTCCAAACGGATATATGATCGGTGGTAAGATCCAGATCAATATTTCCATCAGCAGAATGTGGATGAAGATCTTCTCCCTTGTAGTTAAACCCGAACGGCACGTGGATTAAATAGAGGTCCAAATAATCGAGCTGTAGATCCTTTAACGACCTTTTAATGAAATGCTCCACATGCTCGGCCCTCATACCAGACGGGGGCAATTTGGTGACAATAAACAAATCGCTTCCTAAAATAAAAATGTAAAATTATATTGGAAAACTATTTCAAAGTAACATTTTAATGCGCTGATATTGCAGCAAAAACCTACTGTTAAGTTTTCCAGCCGTGAGCCATCGGTTCAAAACTTTTCCGATAACTTTTTCATTATCGTACACTGTGGCTGTATCGATGTGTCTGTAACCAGCTTCGAGTGCCGAATCCACTGCATTTTCTAGCTCTGCATCGGTGGCCTGAAAAGGAAATTAATTAATTAGAAGCTTGGAAAGAAAAAAACCAAAGTAAGTTTGAATTTTTTAAACATTGAAAGCATACGAACTTCACGTCATTTTTAAATAAATAAGTAGTTTTTTCACAAATTTTTTTCGCAAAGTTGCATTTGCACAGCTTAACCAAGCACGTTATTTGGGTTTCGCGTTGCAAGTAAAAACTAAAAAGCTTTGCTTGGTTTAGTACTCAATTTCGATTTAATATTCTTTATATGCCTATATATAGTGTATATACACTCTAGGGTGTGTCATTTTTAGGTGACATTTTTTTTTTCGCTGTTATACCAGAAAATCTAATACTTTATAGAAAATAAAAAATTATGCCGCCGGGTAAAAGGTTCTAAGTGCAATAGCGGCTTAGCTCATTTAAAAATTCAATTTCCCATTGAAATAACACAGAAAATTTTTTTTGTTCGTTTTAATTAGATTTTTCGCTGTTAAAAACTTTTTTCCCTAAAAACTTTTTTATAGCTTTTGTAGGAAATTAAATTCTCTACAAAATCATCCCTTTGCTCGAAGAAAAATAAAATGGAATTTGAGGTCTATTTTTATAAAAGTTTATATTTCCAGCGCTATAACTCTGAAACTACTGTTTATACAGTCTTCGAGCAAAGGGATGATTTTGTAGAGAATTTAATTTCATACAAAAGCTATAAAAAAGTTTTTAGGGAAAAAAGTTTTTAACAGCGAAAAATCTAATTAAAACGAACAAAAAAAATTTTCTGTGTTATTTCAATGGGAAATTGAATTTTTAAATGAGCTAAGCCGCTATTGCACTTAGAACCTTTTACCCGGCGGCATAATTTTTTATTTTCTATAAAGTATTAGATTTTCTGGTATAACAGCGAAAAAAAAAAATATCGCCTAAAAATGACACACCCTAATACACTCACAGGCAAAATATTCGATCCACACAAATTTTCGATGAATTTCAATCGCAAATAACTTTTTTATTTAATTTCAGATTTAAATAAATATTAAAGAATATTGTAGATACATTAATGGAGAATCGCTCACATTTTAAAAATTACTAAAAAATAGACGTACGTTTATAATATACAGGTTTAAACAAAAATATGTTTTTTACCATAAGTTTAAGACACTCTGTAGACTGGCAAAACCGTATATTGTTCTAAATTAAGTTTTAATTACCAAGTCACATCTATTTTTATTAGTTTTGTTTTTGGTTCACCTTGATATATTTATTTTTGTGGAAAATATGTATTTAAAAAAAAAAAAACATTGCAATTTCCAATATTATTCCTGTATAAAGAACTAAGGTTGCTATGGTCCATGATAGAGGATGACAGTGACAGTTTTGTTGAATCATTCCAAACTTGGACATGTCATATACAGCTTTCAAAAGCTATCAAATTGTTTTTTGTAAATTAATTAATTTTGAGGTGTCTTCTTACTTTTAAAAATGTCTCCGACTGATGTTGCCCTTTGTACTTTACTTCTTCTGACGTTTAAAACACTTGCCACGTAATACTGTGACCGTCCATCCTGGATTAAATTAATGGCTTTGGCAACATCAGTCAGAGACATATCCATTTTTAAAGTAAGAAGACACCTTAAAATTTAAACATTAATTTGCAAAAAACAATTTGATAGCTCTTGAAAGCCGTGTATGACATGTCCAAGTATGGGATGATTCAACAAAACTGTTACTGTCATCCTCCATAGCCTATGGATGGACCATAGCAACCGTAGTTCTTCATACAGAAAAAATATTAGAAATTGCAATGTTTTTTTAAAAAATCCATATTTTCTACAAAAATAAATATATCAAAGTGAACCAAAAACAAAATAGATGTGACTTAATAAATAAAACTTAATTTAGAACAATATACGGTTTTGCCACTCTACAGAGTGTCTTAAACTTATGGTAAAAAACATCTTTTTGTTTAAACCTGTATATTATAAACGTACGTCTATTTTTTGTATTTTTTAAAATGTGAGAGATTGTCCATTAATTTATTTACAATATTCTTTAATATTCGTTTAAATCCCACATCAAATAAAAAAGTTATTTGCGATTGAAATTCATCGAAAATTTGTGTGGATCGATTATTTTGCCTGTGAGTGTAGGTAGTTACGTTCGTGTATGAATTTTAAAGGTGATCATAGTGAATTATTGTTGTGTTTTTAATAATTATTGTAAATGTAGGTAATTCAAGAAATAATCCGAAGTTGCACTTTCATGTTTTGCCAAAGGATCCAATTGAATATGTATATTTGTTGGTGCAGAATGAACTAATAATAAGTTTACCTAATATAAATTTTATTTAAGTTTGGACATTTTTATGAAATCTAACTCAAAATTATTGTTATACAAACCTAACCTTAAAATAAAATATTTTTATATTTTAGCTGCAGCCTCTTCCGAAACAGCTTAAGATATAAAAAATTTGTATGCTTACTAAACTTTTTATGCTGAATTCGAAAATAACAATCAAGTTTAAAATTTCTATTTATAAGTTTATTAAACAGAAGTGGCCTACGGTATTTTTAGCCATTTGTTCATGTAAAGTTTTCTTCCTATTTTTGGCCCTATACCTAAACCGCTTATTGTAGATTATTGCACACCATTTTCGGTACACCCATATATAAGGCGATGTGATCTATTTTTATAAAATATTTTCAATGCGCTGTCACTTTTGGTTAAACGGTTTAACCGTCGCTTTTTTCCAATGGAACCCTTTCAATTTTATTGCTCTTTTAAAATCAATTACTCAAAAATAACTAATTATAAGTCATATTTGACTAATTGTCATAGCGAAAAAGCAGTCACTAGTAGCTAGTAGCGCCACCACTCGGCTGTTATCATCGTAACAAAAGTAGAACTTTTAATAATCAGCTGTCAAACGCTTGTTACAAACGAGTGTTTTTGAGAATAAAGCCGGAAAATGTTAAAAAATATCGAAAACAAACCGTGTTAACATTTCAATTAAGTAAAAATCGTCAAACAAATAAGTCGTCTAAATTTAAACAGCATTTAGCATTATTAAAAGCGTTGATTAAGAATTCTTTAAAGTCTCCACTCAACGCTATAATACCATTATATTGTGTATTATATATAATATTATGTTGCCATGAATTCGTAGGTATATTTTTATAGTTTTATTGGCTTTTAGGCTTTTGAAACCTATTTAGCCAGCACATTATATGTATATTTTGTCTTAATAAACAATCACAACACCCAGGGCTGTGACCGGGAATCGAACCCGGTACCATTAGACGCAGATTGCACAGCTTTGTAGCCTAACCCACTGCGCCATCCTCGGACCCTGTGTTTTGTTGTTTAAAATGCAGTTGTCGGCGTTTTTTAGAGAACTCAAATATAAAAATAATTGATTTTAAAGTTATGTTTGTGTAAAAATTATTTTTTACTAATTTCTTAAAAATGTCCAAACTTAAATATAAATTATATTAAGTTATCATCTCTCTAAAATGAATTAGTCAAAAATGACTAATTTAATAGTTATTAGTGGCTGCTTTTTTACTTGTACCATGGTTAACCATGGAATACCATGGTATCACAAAATTTAACAGCCAATTCTTATGTAAAATTGTCCCCTGTATCCGAAAATACTGTCAAAAATTATGAAAGTGGAGCAGTTTTTGAGATATAGTCAATTCCATATTAAATGAAAAATTGACTATATCTCAAAAACTGTTCTACTTTTTTAACTTTTGACGGTATTTTCGGATTCAGGGGACAATTTTACATAAGAATTAGCTGTTAAATTTTGCGATACCATGGTATTCCATAGTTAACCATGGTACAAGTGAAAAAGCAGTCACTAATAACTATTAAATTAGTAATTTTTGACTAATTCATTTTTAGAGAGATTAGTTAATTCTGCACCAACAAATGAACTTACCGAATTGGATTCTTTGGCAAAACATGAAAATGCAACGATTCAGTTCTTGAATTTTATTTACAATTAAAAACACAATAATTCAACATGATCCCTTTGATAAAATACATACACTAACGTAACTATATAATCATTTAAGCGTTGAGTTTTTTTCAATGATATAAGGAATAATCAATCGAAATCGAACACAAAAAAAGTTTTTTTTTAATTTTTTTTCTTGCAACGTAAAACAAAATTAACGGGCCCGATTTAGCTGTGCAATTGAACAAAATTTGTCGAGTAAGACTTCTGCCTTCCTCTCTTTTGTAAAAAATTTACCTATTTATTTTAAAAAGGTTGTATAGGTAATCGGTGCTTTAAATTTATTGTTGACAATTCTTAAATTCACGCAATGCATTGGAAGTCCACCAGATGGCGCGCGCGTTGCGAAAACCCGATACTTCTTTATTTATTTATTATTATTTATTTCTTTATTAGCGCATAGTAGAATTATTAGGTTTAAATTTAAAAAAAAAAGGTTTTGACCCAGCCGGGGATTGAACCCAGGGGTGTCACTTGTCAACCTTGTCAAGCTGTTGTCATAACCCATTCGGCTATCAGCCGCTCTCATAAAAATCAATTTTATTTGTCAATAAATATTGTTCATAATATTTTAAAGTTTAATATATTATTTATGTTGCTGTTTTGAGCTAAACTTTTTACATATTTATTTGTTTTTATGGGTCAATTAACCATAGAGCCCAGGTATATGCATTTAATTCAAATAATACTGTTGTTGCCCGCAAACTATTAAAGAAATTAGTTACTTTACTAACTCTCAGAAATAGTCAAAGATGGTGACTAATCTTAAATAAGTCAAACTTTAACTATTTACGTAGTAAAAAATAACTATTTAAGTGAAAACGACTATTTTATTAGTTAAAAATGCTGGTACCAGTTTTAATAGTAGAATTTTGACCATTTCATTTTTATAGAGTGCATTTTTGAATTCTACCTTCAATTCTGGAGCTATTAAATTTAGAATCGTTTTCCTATCTTTAATTGTTTATGAGATATTTTTTTTTAATGTTTAAGGGTGGA